AAGCAGGAATAATAATTATGAAACTTGAAAATTAAATTAGGCAATTTTTAGACTTGAAAATAATCCTCTACTAAACTATACTAATTAAACCACTGGCAGATTGGTGTATAGACCAAAGTACAGAAACAAGGACTCATGTATGTACTGGGAACCTAACTTATGAGAATGGCCACAGAAAAGTGTACCTAGCAATCATATAGGTGGTATCAAGACAGTATCTCACTAATTTTAGAAGAAAATTAAACTAGACTCCTACCTAAAATGACATACAATATGAGAAGTAAACTATAAAGTGAGTAGAAAATATGTGCAGATATCTATATGAATCAAGTAAGAATTTCTAAAGCATAAATTCAAAATTACTTACCATATGCAAAAATAAACTGATGAATATAATTACATAAAATTAAACACTTTGGCTCAGGAAAGAACATCAGGAGCTAACTAAAAAGACAGGGAACACAATGGAAGAAGATATTTGAAACATCAAATGGATAACAAATAGAATTTAGAATTTATAAAAGAAGTCCCAATCAACAAAAAAAAAAATGAAAAAGACATAAAGCATCATGTTTTCGTTGAATTAGTAATCAGAGAAATCCATATTAAAACAAAGAAATGCTACAGAACATCTCTTAGATTAGCAACAATCAGAAAAGTGGACAACGCCCTTTGCTCTTAGACATGTGGACAGGAGCCACATACACAACATAGTGGTAGAGGACAGACAGATGCTTGCGTGTTACTCAGAATCCAGCATGTTATTCCGAAGTCTGTATCTCAAAGAAACTCTCATTGCAAGGGACTTGTAAAAGGATATTTACTATACTGTATTTGTGGTACTGGAGAGTTGGAGGCTGCTTAAGAGATGAACAAATAAAATCAGGTTGATACACAATTATACACAGCCATTTAAAATTTTATATTTCATACCATTTAAGAGGGATGCACCTTAAAAAACATAGTGAGAGATGAACACAACAAAGAAATAGGATTAAGTATATATTAGAATTCCGTATTTGAAAATTAAAAATACACACAAAATATTTCACAAGAATGCATAAGATGACACTAACTGCTTTATAATGCTTGTACCTGCCCTTACAAAAGTTAGTGTTGTAAAAGAAATAATTACTTTACAATACTTCTGAATTTACTGAAGCTAACCCCAACAGATTACTGTTTTATATGAGAATATATTTACATTAGACAACAAAAATTATTTATTTTGTTACTAATCAATTCATTTCTTAAATTAGTCTCGATCAAATCATATTCAAATAAGGTACATGTAAGTATTTTTGTCTAACATGATTCTCAGGTATTTCTCAGTGTAGCCCTTTTATTTTTTTTTTAATGATCTATACAACAGTAAAAAAATTCCCTTAATATAAACACTATTTTCTTTATCTGCTCAGCAAGTCACAGGAAAAAAAAACATTGTATGTGCAGGAATATTTAGCCAAAATTATTTCTTTAATGTTAGAATGGCACAAACAAAAATAAATTCCGGATAGACTTCTCTGTCCTCTTGGGGAAGAGAGAATGACTGAGCCAGCAGTGATAACCTGGCAAGTATAATAATCCTTGAGTGAAACAGGATCTGGCCCAGAGATCCCAGACAGGGAAGGGCCAGACCAATCAACTTCCCTTAGCTCCAGAAAGATTTCTGGCACGAGAGAGCAAATGAATTTTTTTATTACCCTAAAATAAACTGTTCAATTAATAGTGACAAAATAAATCTGAACTTCTTTCAATCCTCTTCCAAGTCTACACATGGTCTCCAACAACACCCAACAACAACAAAAAAAAGTCACTTTGGTCAGCGCAAGATGATTCTGTAGTGTTCAATAACCTAAGATTTGGATTTAACAAAAAAGATAGCAATTTCCTACTAGTATCTTGGAGTCATTACAACTTCAGCATAAATCTTTCATTTTTTCTGTAGTTATAGAATAAGAATTGTGAGTCAGAGTGATGACTTTTGTACTGTCATATTCCAAATTTCGAATAATCTATAAAATGTTAGCCATTAGGCTAGGTAGGTCCTTGCGATACAGGGAGTATAAACAATTAGCACTGTGCCTTTACCATTTGCAGGGAAATGACAACTCATTTAAGATACAGATGATATCTGACCTGGTGGAGTTTAGAGTCTGGGTGGTAGCAAGATAACAAAGGATAATAGAAGTCACGTTTATTATAACAGAGAAACACATAGAAGACTGGAAACCTAGGAGCTGCAGGGAGGCACGGCTGAGGGGAGGAGTGTTAGGAAACATTAAGCACAGTTTTACAAGATTTTCAACACCAGAAGAAAATAAATGCACTTCACTCAGACCACTCTAGCCAGTCAGGATTTACAGCTTTGGTCTCTGCCTACGTTAATTATTCGCACAATCTTTTCCACTCATTGGTTTGTAACCAGTCTTTCCAAGTGGAAAACACCAGCCATTCTGCACTGGTCCAAAGGGACAGCATCAACAATTAGCAGCCAGGGCTGGAGCTGATCCCTGAGGAACTAATTTCCTGCCTCTGTGTTAGTTTTCATCTAGGAAATATAGACCTAAGATTCCCAGCCACATGCAATACTAGGTATTTTCACAGAAATTTATTCATGTATTTCCTACCACATACTACACAGATGAATAACCAAGCTCAGAGAACTTAAAGTAACTTGCCAAAAAGATTCTTAACAGCACTAGCAATAATTTGAATGTAAGACACAGAACTCCAAATCCAGTGTTCTATTAAATGGAAGCTGATTCTTTGTCTTTATGAAATAACTATTTATGAAAGCCACGGTAATTTTATCTTCTAGCTATTCCTAGCAAAGATGATACTATTTGTTCTTCTTAAACTTTTGGACAAATTTATCAAGTATTCTTGTTCAAAAGAAATTAAAAAGAAATGCAAAACCTATGTTTGCTTTGTGTATCTTCCACCAAGGGTGTAACGAGACTGGTAACAAGAAATATGACTTATGAGTAATATCTTGGCACAGAATTCTTAGTATCTCTAGATACATCTGACACATTAGGGAAATGTTATATATACCTAACTATATTTCATTCTACTTTGAGAGCTTCCTGTTCTCTTTAGTTAAAATCTCTCCTAATCATAACACCATGCTTCATTCTCAAATATGGAATAATACTAAGGAATTCTAAGGAAATAATTTCCTGGCAGAATCCATCCAAAGAAAACCACAAATAAAACTATTACTAGCAAAAAAACAAAATAATGTCTTATGTAATTTAAAAGTCTTGAACAATTTCTTCATTAATGAGAAAATAAGATACGCTTAGGAAAACAAAATCACTCCAATATCAATAGCAACTATGAACTTTATTCTTATAAACACTTTGATGTAAAAAGGAAACAGGTTTTAAGATTTATTTTCCTTGTGCATTCACTATAAATATGAATACAATTTTTCCCTTATCTATTGTTCTAACCTTTTACTGAAGGGTCCAGCTTCTATCAACTCATACTAGCACAAAATCTGATGGTGTAATTTTCAGAAATTTTGGAGAGCCATTTGTCAAATTGTGATTGCCTGAAAACAGCCACGGTGGGAATCTAAGCTCTTATACATCAGCAATGAGCAAACACTAAGTATCAGGCCTGTTTTTCTCTTGACAACCAGTTGCAATGTCTGTCAGATCACCACAGCACTTTAGAATCTTGTGTTTTATTTACTTTGTTATGTCTTTCTTTTTTTCTCTTTAAACTGATTTTTATGCTTTTATTTATTTTTCCAAGGGCCTGGCTTTGGAAATATTTAGATTGAACTTCAAAGAGCTAAGACATTATGACTAAGGATCTAAATTAAAAATGGTTTTTCACCAAAATATTCTCACAGGAAATGTATTCCTCAATCTTTATCCAACTGGCCTGATTTAGCACAGTCTGCTGCTTTAATGGCAACATCTCTGCCTTTATAATTTGGATCTTGATTGTCACCTAAAGGCCCATATGCTCAAGGCTTGGTCCCTGGCTTGGCACTGATGAAGATGGTGCACATTTCTCCTTTAGCCATTGCTCCCGTTATGATGAACCGTTTCATCACAAGCCCAAAAGCAATGGGCCAACTGACTGAGAACTGAAACCTCTACAACTATGAGTCAAAATAAACCTTTCCTTTTTATAAGCTGATTTATCTTGGGTATTTGTTACAATAGTGGAAAGTTGACTAACACAGTCTCCATTCTTTATCAGGTTGTTAAGAGCATATTTTTATTCCCTCCTATGAATATTTATAAGGAGCTTATATGTGCTCCTTATAAACATAAATGTAGGACTGGCAGGGTGGCTCAAGTGGTAGAAAGCCTGCCTAGCATGTGTGAAGACCTGAGTTCAAAACCCCAGTACTGGAAAAAAAATGTTATCAATACTAACATCTCTTTCTTTTTTCTAAACAAGACCTTTAACTTTTAACTATCAATCAACATGAATCAAAAACAGAGGACAAAATCAATTTGCTCCCTTTTACCAAAGAAGAAATGAAGGCAAGAGGCCATAATTTCTCTAAAGGCAATGAGAACTAAGTTGGATAGAATGTTTAAATGGTCTCAATGTTACACAGAATATCTGGTTGGATCCATTAAAATGCTGCTTTTCAGGGGTAAGCAGTAGACAATATGAAGGTAGAAGTAAAAACGCTCTATAGTCAAGCAGACATGGTTTTAAATTCTGTCCATCTATGCACTATCAGTATGACTTCAGGTAATCAGAGTACCCTAAACTGCATTTTTCTTAACTGTTATGTTACATAAAGATAACTACAGCCTTGGTTTGATAAAGTATGGTAGGAAAGGAATGTTAGACTATATAATGACTATCAGAGTAAGCAATCAATGTCGAGTTATAACTATCAGAATTTGTAGCTAAATCAACCACTGAGGCTGAATTACAACTGTTCATTTGCAGTACGAGGGAATGAACCCCGGGTCTTGTAAATGTTGGGCCAGCGCTCTACCACTGAACCGTATCCGCACCTGTTTTACTTTACTTTGTGACAGAGTCTAACTAAGCTGCATAGGTTGGTCATGAAGGTGTGATCCTCCTGTCTCAGTGTTCTGCGAAGCTGTGATCACAGGCTTGAGTCACCACATCTGGAAAAGTTAAACATTGTATAAGCAAAGAGACCATGTTTCAAATTCTTATAGTTAAAGTATGATAAATGTGGTGGAGATTAGGGCCCAACATCCATTCCACCCTGCTTCTATAATATGTTTTCATATATTACAGATGCTATAAGGCAAAACAGCAAGCTTTCCAGATTCACACACATACGTTCTTCTTGCAATTTAGATTCACTCATCAAACGTACTTGCCTAAGCTTTGAAAGGCAGAAGGGAGGCAGAAATCAACTTCCCCATATAAAATGTATATGTAACATATACATTTTTCAATTGAAGGATTGCACAGAGCTCCTAATATCCAGGAACTACTGAGAGTTGCTGCATGGCAGGATATGCTACATCTACCTGTGTGGTCACACTTGTAGGATGGCAGCAGGGCAAGCAGCACGATGGGTAGCTTCCTGAAGTGGCACAGAGTACATGATCTACAGCAAGGCTGGCAAAGTTTTTCTGCTAAGGGCAAGATAGTTAATACTTTGTGATGTGGTTTCTATTGCAACTTCTTAACAATGACAATGTCATTGCTATGTGAAAGTAACCATACACAATAAACAAATGAGTAACTTTGACTGTGTTCCAGTAAAACATTATGTATAGACACTGTATTTGATTTTTAAATGTAACAAAACACTGCTCTTCTTTGATATTTTCCAAATATTCAAAAATGCAAAAGCTAATCATAGTTCATGGGACATACATAAACAGGAGACAGCCATACTTGGCCTATAATGTAACGTGCAGTTGGTCACCCCTACAATAGTCTCCTGATCCACAGAGAAAGCAGAGGTTTACTTAATCGCCAGTTCTGTGGTGCAGACCTGGGAGATGTTTTTAAAAGTTCATCCATGAACCTAAAGTCTGTTTCGACAACCCTTTCCTTCCCTCATCATTCTGTATACCACTAATACCCTGTGGTAAGTACCATCCTGCTTAAAGTGGCTACCATGGCTTCTGTTCTCTGCAACAAACTTGGCTGAGTCATAGCTACACATATGCATGTACTTGTTCTTTTTAACCCCCCTAAAAAAATCCTCATTTTGGCAATTATCCTTTAGATATACACTATATGATTGTCATTTATAAATTAATTTTAAATGCCCTTAAAATTTAAAATTTAAAAATGAAATATAACAGCCAGGCATGGTGGTGCATGTCTGTGATTCCAGCAGTCTGGAGGTGAAGCAAGAGGATTGCTAGTTTGAGTTTATCCTGAGCTATACAGTGGACCATGGGACCTGGAGAAGAGGAAGAGGAGGAGAGGGAGGAAGAGGAAGAGGAAGGGGAGAAGGACAAGAAAGGGGAGGGGAAAAACGGGAAAGTAAAAGGAGAAATGAAACAGAAGGTTTAAGTCTAATAGGTTAAAAATAGACTGCTGAATGAACTTTTTTTTGCATGAAAACAAAAGTTTTTATTTTTTTAAAAGATTGTAAAAAAAACCAGGACTGTTTGATGTACAGATATCATTGGATTGCTATTATTTTAACCTTTAAACTCTGTTGGTGTTTTTTATGGTTATGCTGGGTGGGAGTACATTGTGGCATTTATAAAAGTTCTTACAATATAGCAAATATATTGTACTTGAATTCACCCCCTCCACCATTCTCCTTCATCCCTCCCTACCCCCACTCCTGGAGCCTTTTCAACAGGTATCATTTTTCCATTTACATACCTGTGTACACAGTATTTGTACCATATTGACTCTCCCACACCCTTTCCCCACTTCCTCCCTGCTCCCGCCTGTACCAGACCCCCTAAGTAGGACCTGTTCCACCCTCTTGTTCTCAGATTTTGTAACAGGAAAAAAAATGACATTTTTGTTTATTAAGATAGCGACACATGGAGTTTCTTCATGATATTTCCATGGCTCATTTCCTCTGTTTATCTTCTTTCTACCTTAGTCCCCTTCTTATGGTGGTTTCAACATGTTTAAAAATTCTATATTCATTCTTGTATGGAGTATATCAATTATATTTACCTTTTAACTTCCTTGTTTTACCCTCCCCCACTCAAATGTGACCTCCCCTTAGTGCAATCTGTTTATCATCAAGTTGCTGATTTTATATTAGGTCTATATTCCACATATGAGAGAAAACAAGCAACTTTTGACCTTCTGAACCTTGCTTAACTTAAGATGATGTTCTTAAGTTCCATCCATTTACCTGCAAAGGACAAAATTTCATTCTTTTTTGTGGCTGAGTAAAATTCCATTGTATGTAAATAACACATTTTCTTAATCCATTTGTTGGAACTGGGGCATCTTGGCTGTTTCCATAGCTTAGCTATTCTAATAATGCTGCAATAAACATGGGTGTGCAGGTGCCTTTGTTGTAACCTGGCTTAATTCCTTCAGAAATATCCCTAGGAGTGGTATAGTTGGATTATATGGCATTTCTATTTTTAGTTTTTTGAGAAGTCTCCATGCTGTTTTCCATAGTGGTTATACTTGAACTTTATTTTAGGTTTGACACACCCCCAGCCCTTTAATACTTTTATGTTGATATCTAATAACTTCTTTTCTGTGTGATGCTAATGACAGAACCCCTGCCACTTGGCCACATCCCAGCCCCTTTTTGGGTGATTTATTTTGAGAAAGGATCAGGCTGGCCTTGAACTTGTGATCCCCCACCTCAGCCTCCTAAGCGGTTGGGATTACAAGCATGCCTAACAAAATTAAACACTTTAATGAGCAAAAAGATCACTTTTCAAATTATTATCCTCCAAAACCCGAGTTTAGAGTTACAAAAGATATAATTAAAGTACTAATGGTTCTAAATAAAATGATACAACATGTTGTTGGATACATAGGTGAACATTTTCCTTCATCTCAAGTAATTTCATAAAGCCTTTCTTCATAAATGTAAATTTTAGTTTAGCTCTTAATTGTTAAAAACATTGAATTAGTGAACTCAAATAATTATAAAGCAAGAACAGAAAAAATTGTACATGTAAATACTTACTTTCTTATTCAATCAATAACATTTTTACTGCCACATATTCTGCTAGATAATAAAGATAGAAAAATAAGCAGATGACATTCTACCCTCTATGGGTTCATGGTTAAGCTGAGAGATGTAAAACAAACAATGTGCTAAGTGTTATAATAAACAAATTATTGTAAACAAGATGCTATGGGAACACAAAGAAGTGGTTAAATAGCACTGAAGATAGTGACATTTGAACTAGATCTTGGAAACTGAAGATAAGTCCAGTTGGCCAAGGGCTGGACCTTATTTCTAGCAAACAGACCATATATAAAAGAGAAAGCATAAGACATACTGTTAGGTCCTCCAAGTAGTTCAGCCTAGTTACAACACAGTGTGAATTCAGGGGAAAGTTGGAGATGAGTTTTGCATGGATAGGGTAGACATAAGAATACAAAAGAGCTTACATGTTATGCTAACAATTAACTCCTTTTAAGCTGGCAAGGAATATATGCTGACAAAATGTGTCTGAACAGTGTGCAGTGTGGGACAGGTAGATGTCAACGATGCTGTGGGAGAATTCAGGCAATGATCCCAAACAGGATTAACAATCCGGGAACTAGCTATCATTTTACAATGGAAGAGATAAAAAGGACTGGGAATACCTTCTTGTGTGACTAGAAGACCATTAGAGCCATTAACCAACCTGGACATAGAGTTTATTCTAAGAATTTGTGTGAAGGATAAAAATTTGGCCACAGTGAAATAAATAGGTCATGAGAAAACAGAGCAGGAAAGGAAAAGCAACTGTGTGCCACTAAAGCAATAAGCCATCCAAAACACATCAGCAGAGACCTTAAACTTCAAGGACTGTAAGGGTATTTTCTATCTTCCAAATTAAAAAAATAAACATATTAATATACCGGTAAGAGGTTTAAAAACATTTTAATTGTTGATATTTTTGCCACTTACTGTATGCATGAAGCTTTTAAGACCATAGTTCTGCAAAAATATACAGTGAAAGTAAATTCTGAACACAGAGCTCCTGTTCCCTACCCAAGAGCCATCATTACTAATTTAGTATTTTTACAAAGATACGTCAAATATGTATAACCATACAGGTGAACACATAACATGCATCCTCCTTTAAATAGCCTATTAAAAATATAATTCTCAAGAAGATGAGCTTCATAGTTCTTCTTTTGTCTTTCTTTCTTTTTTTTTTGAGAGAGGATCTTGCTACATAGCTGATCCTCCTGCCTCAGCCTCCCAAGTGCTGGTAGTGCACACCACGATAGCTGTCCTTATAGTTCTTAAATGTTAGATAATAGGAATCAAATGTGTAACGGTAGTGCTATAAATTAATTTTAAAAGCCATTTCTACTTACAAGTAGTTTACAGCCTTAACTTACTAATAAACTCAATGGTAGTAAAGATTGAAACAAAATCCCACTAATTTCTCTTCCCATCCACTGACCTTTATGGCATTCCCTAGATAACAGATTCTGAATGTGTGAGCACAATGGGCTCATTCCTCTGATGGTCCTTTACTGAGGACTTGAAGTCTGTGCTCCAATTATATCATACCAAGAGTTTTTTAACCCTGGCTGGACACTGCAATCAAGTATGGAGCTTTAAAAAATATTCTATTGCCCAGAACATACAACATTCAAATCAGAATGTCTGGGCTGGAACACTGGTATGATTATAAGAGATTCCCCAGTTGATTCTAACACACATTCAGGGCTGAGAACCACTGCCATAAAAATGTAAGATCAGATTTTATGAAGGTCACCCATATCCTTTTTTATCTTGTAACTAAATAATGTTCAAGTATGGAAATGCACTTTTAAAATACTTGGGCAAAAGATGGCTATAAATCACCAGAATGATAGTAATATGGGAAAAGGTGACAGTGGAAGTTCCACAATGCAGCACTTAATAGTTAGTCATCTCACATTATCTGCTCAAGCCCAATAGCCCAATACCAACCTATTCTGAATAGTGCAATATGGAAGAAACAGGATCAAATGCTGAAAACTCCCTTAACTCTCTCTGAATTACAACGAAATTACATATAGGGCTGGCGATACTGCTCAAGTGGTAGAGCACTTGCCTAGCAAACATGAAGCCCTAAGTTCAAACCCCAGTACTGCCAAAACAAAAACAAAAATACTAACACAACAACAACAACAAAAAACCAAAACAAAGAAATGACATACGACAAAAGCTGAGTAAAGTTTAACTAAACAAGATACACTGACTACTGCCTAAGTACCAAAAAACCAAAAGTGAGGTGAACAAATTAAGTTTCAAACAAATACCATACATACACAAACTTTTTTTATAGGAATACTAACCCATAGAGCATGGAAGAGCTTAAGTCTACATTGCTCAATATGGTGCTATATGTGACTGTTTAAACTTAAATTTGAATAAATTTAAACATATTAAGTAAACAATCTAGTTCCTCAGTTGCATGGGCCACAAATGAATTATGGCTAGTGAGTAGCATGTTAGCCATACCAATGCAGAACACTTCACTGCTTTGCCAGAAGCATGACTGGACCACCCTAGCCGACCCTGCATGCTAGACATACTGCATATGCATTTTAGGAAAATGACCTGTGACTTTTATTTGATGCTCAAAGGAGATTATGTTCAATTGTCAGACCAATATTTCAATTACCTGTGCTCCAATCAATACAAAGTAGGGAAACCTTGCTTTCCAAATAATTACTTTCAAAGAAAAGCTTACCATATCAACAGTTTCATTTCTCACTCACTGACACACCCTTTCAACTGTCTCCATATTTCCGGATGGATGAAGTCCATTTCAGTATTTCTGTGACTTTTCTGTACAGTTTGACAAACTGACATTTGAGGATGAGTACCAGGTGGGGCTACTATTAGTACAAATGTTCTTCCCACCTCCCTGATGTTTTTATGGTCCTGGGGTTTCAGTATTTTTTCAGAAAAGAAAAACTAGTATCAGATCATAACCAGAAATAGCTCCTTAGTATGTTCTTCATCAAGTCCAACTTCATTAGCTATTGGTATATCCAAGAAGCTTGGCCTTCCTTTTAACCCCAAATCCTGACTTTTGTATGAAAAGGAATTCAGCATTCAACAAATGCAAACAGTCACCTGCCAGCAGCATGTGTAAGATACTGTTCCTAAGAATTCCTAGGATACTTGTGTATAAACCCAAAATTTAGCACCTAAGTTGCCGTCAGACGCAATCTCCTGGGTGAGTTCCTATTATACACAAACATTCCAGCTTTGGCTTCCACTTTGAAAAGGTCTGAATTTGGCAACTGAAATCAACATTCTGGTTGCTTTCATACTACCACAGCACAATAGCTGCAAGTGAGGCCATTTGTCTGATGAGGGCTGTCCTCTGCTTCCAAGATGGTACCTTCCTGCTTGTGTTCACATGGTACGAGGCAGAAAGTACTGACTGCTGTGTGAAGCCTCTTTTGTAACAGCCTTTGTGCAATAATGAGACCTCAGGGCCTAACTACCTCTGCTACTATTACCATGGCCATTAGTTTCAACACTGGAA